TTCTTCACTTTTCGCTGAGGGGGGGTTCTGGTCCCCAATAACCGCGACAAATGTGAGATTTTACTGTACATCCTTTAGGAAGCACTGTCACAAATATCCACCATTGACGCGTGTGTGTGTGTGTGTGTGTGTGTGTGGGGGGGGGGGTGTTGAATGACATTGACTCCCATTACCACATTTCGAAAATACATGAAATAAAACTCAAGCTTTCAAACCTTACCTTCAAATAAGTTTCACTATCACATAATTACACGTGTGTGTCCCCGAGCAATAACAGTGTTTGTCTGTGTGAGAGCCGCACAAAGGTCGCTTGCCAAGTGCTCAGTCAGTGTGACTCTTTCTGTTCTATTGAATATGTATTAACGCGCTCGCTGATGGGGGATATTTACCAGCGGTAACCACATAAATAACAACATGTAGCGGAGCCTGAAACCAAGAAATGTTTAATTCAAGCCAGAGGCTGTGAACTCCGTCGGCAATATTTTACCCGCGAAACAGCCAGAGATTGACAGAAAAGGTGAAACGGAATTGCATGCCAGTCTGCGGGCGTGACCAAACCCGAGACAGACCTTTTGGAAAGTGATGCCGGCCCCTCGATGAGGATCCATTCTCAGTCCGTGACCCTGCACGTCGATGTCATTAGAGTAAAGCAAAGTAGACGAAGGGCCTCGGCTGCGATGCCATCTGCCAGCTGTTTCTGCTCTTTCGAACGTCTTTTCATCGCTCACTGGATTTCACAACGCGGACTGACTTATGCCATGAATTAAAGAATGCGTTTTTACAAATTGGGCTTGCTGAGTGACAGCCCGAGATTATCAGGTTATTCCTTTTTCTTTGTTTTATAGTTTTGTTACCGGAGAATGAAAGCGTCCCTCACGAAGTTGAGTTGCTTTTGATGCACTTTTTATTTCTCCGTTTTTCTACTTAGTCAGTCTTTGTTGAACCAAATAAGGCAGTTGAGAACAGTTTCTCATTGTCGATGCAATGCAATATTTCCCTTAAGGCAACGGTGTGATGACAGTTTGTGGATGCGAAAGTGCTCACTCATAAGGGGAACATCCAAATGTGACAAACCGCACTTAACATTTGATCAAGACACAAAATGTGTTTCTTTGTCACTTGGCAAAGGGTCTCCGAATAATCCCGAACTCTGGGGAGAATGGGCCAGGGTAGCGCTCGCGGTTGGGGAATCGGGTTCAATTGTAGACGAAGGGCCTCGGCTGCGATGCCATCTGCCATCTGCCATCAATATTGAGGCATTGTTTCACGCGGCAAAGCGTGCAAACGCAATGTTATGCTTCAGTGCCGCTTAACAGCGAACCGCCCAGCTTGCCGTTCTGTCTCCCCCTGTTGGTCATTTTTTTCTTGATGTTCCTCTGGATGGCTTGAAACCGGGAAAGTAAATTCCTTGATTCCCTGATTCTGATATCCACCTATAAATTGATCGGGCTCTTGTTTGAGCACGGCCAATCTCTGAGTCTTTGCCCGATAAACGGGGTGATCTTTAACTGCAGCCATTCTAATTGGCGACTCGCTTTCACCTCTTCTTATAGTTGACTGAGATTCGGTGACATCATAAGGTGTCCCGTATGTGGTTAAAAACAATCAACAAACGCTTAACTTGTTGTTCGGTTCGAGTTGGAATTGACTGTTTTGAGTCTAAAAATACGAGATCAATAAAACAATTTTCATTGGGCGGACGATCAACAAACCGTTCCAGCGGCTGCGGTATTTGGTGTTCATATACGTGCCGTAGGTTTGATCCCTTTAGCTTGAACATGTTGTGTCAATCACTCCACAGGGAGAAAGTGCATATTTTTATAAGTGTCGGACGACTTTCTTCTTTATGTGATCAAATGCTGCAAACTTCATAAGAGCGGCGAGATGGAGAGCGCGAGAGTGATGAGAGGAAAGGCTCATCTGCATCCTGTTTGATGTGGCAAATTCAAATGGACCAAATGATCTGATGAGGGAGGGGGGAAAAAAAATGTGAATTCTTCCTTGCGGCTATTTGCAGATGGGAAAAAAAAAAAAGCATCGACGGGGCCTTTTGCTTTTCTGAAAAATACAATCTCATCAGACATACGTGCATGTTTACCTTTTCTTTCCTTTTTTTTTTTTCCTGAACAATAATTAGTATTTGATTTGCCCGGCAACATATGCCGAGAGCTCAAGACTCGTCAAGCAAAATTGAGAGAAACCCTTTCTCTACTCCAATTTGAGTCCCCCCGAAGAGACGGACTGAGAACTTGAACAATTCAACCTTAGAGAAAATTGAGGGCGGAAATGAAGATATTGCTGCTGTGCAGTGAAGAATTGAATCACACCACAGGTGTTCGAAGTGCCGGATGTCGAGTAATGAAAGCAGCAGCAGAGGTTGGCGGAAACATTACGAGGGCAAACGCGCTATTTGCCTTCATTCATTTCGTTTTAGGCGAAGTGTATAAATGGGATGCAACTTGAGATGAGTACCAAATACGGTTCGTTTTTGGGTAGGGACCAATTTGGGTCAGTGCTGCCAAGCGCCAATTCACGTGACATCGCACGGTGCCGTGTCGCGGTTCTGAAACATGTCTTTCGACGTTGTGGCGAGGAGAGAGTAGGTGAGTTGTCGATTTTTTGTTTTTTTTTTTTTTTTTTTTGTGGCACACTTGAACGCAGTGCCGGAATTCACCGCTCAACAGTTTGTGAAGAACTTGCGCGCGTCGAGGGAGTCATTCCTCGACACCACATCCTGCTCTTCCGAAATGCCTCGGTGCACTGAAGAATTCGAATTCAGGGGAGGCCCTTAACTCTTGCCTGATTATTTATTGATTAAGTGGGTGCATCAATACTTAGGGTTGGTACTCGAGGCTTGGTCCGAACAGTTAGCGGCTGGCGACTTGCGCTTGACTTGTCCTGTCGGCTCTCGGATTAAATTAGCAAACGTGAGATGACACACACTTCACATCTTTCAGGCTTGCTTTGCAGCTCCCGCGAAGGCAAACACTGAGCAGCTATTTAACTTCAAAGCACGGGTGAGCGAGCGTGTCGCTGAACGCCAGCGTGAGAAGAAACTTAACCTGAGAGCACTTTGATCATGTTCGCCACTTGAATGCTTGAAGGATGTCAGACAAAAAAAAAGCGAGATAAGAGGTCAAACTTAACTTTGATCTTATAATCAATATATGCCCCCATCTTGTTTTTTTTTTTTAATTTAGAATCATTCCCTGTTGCAGGAAAGAATTGTCAATATTTCCAGCACAGCCCAACCTCCAAGATGACTGACATTCAATTCAGCAGCAGCATGCTGGATGTTAAAAGGCAATTTACTGATAGCGCGACTGCCAATTTTCACATTAGCTCCGAGTGTGTTTCATAAGAAATATGTGTTTATGAGGCCTTGCGCACACATCGGGCAGTAAAGCCGTGACCAGGGTGAATGTCGCAACGAGAAAGAATGGAATGATGGAATGGGTTGAAGTCGCAGTCTAATAACGTTGTCCTTTTTGGGTGTGGGGGGGTTGAAAAGCAGCATTGACGCCTGTGATGTGATCCAAAGCTGACTTTGCTTAATTTTTCCGTCCGCTCTATCTTGTCCTGTCTCTCGCTCGCTCTCCTCTCCCTATATCCTTATTTATTTGTCAGAGTTTGTGTTCAGGGACGCTCCTTGTCATCCGTCAGCGTGCCCATAAAACACACTGTCATGACTGACTGGCCACGTTCCAAACTCATTACCGATTGGCTGACAGAGGGCCCTGTTCTGTTCTGCTCGGCTGTGTTTGACTCCTTTTTTTTGCCAGACATCTCGTGCTCGGAAAACTTTAAATGCGCCGGCGTCTGCGCTCCTGCCCGCTCCTTTCCCGTCTCCCTCTCAAGGTCACATGAATATGGATTCACCCTCTCCTGCCAGCGCGCACATACTGATGATGAAGTCGAAGATCTACTCGCGGGGATTATAATTCAGAATGCAGGTCTGATTTGGTCACCGGCTGACTCTCCTAACTATGAAATCAAATGGGAGCGGGGTGGGGGGGGGGGATGGGGGGCGGTGAAAGACGAGGACGGGAGCGGAGGTCGTGCGGGTAGACTCGGACTAAATAAGGATGACGAGAGCCACCCTTGGAGAAGGGAGCGAGATGAAGAGGGTGGATAACGATTTTGAAACCGGCGGCGTTGGGGCGAGCTCGTGTGCCCCGTGGTGGCGGACGCCGTATGAGGGCCGGGAAAAACAGACTTGGAGATAGAAACAAGCTAGCATACAATGTGATTGCGTTTCTGTTGCTGTTGATCGGCTGCATCTCTTTTATCGTTTCGTGTTGGCCGTAAGCCTGCCGCAGCAAATCGCTGCGTCTGTTATACGGCACGCGCGTCCCCGTATGTCTGTTTCCGTCCCAACTAACAGTGTCAGGTCAATGGATGCGTACATTGACTTTGCTTCCCATTACGAGCCTCTCGCTTCTCTTTGCCGTTCTTCCTGTCGCCCCAATCGCGCGCTTTTCCCCACACACTGACAATTTTCATGTTGCGTTTACCGTGTTTGTCATTTTTTTTGATTCATTTGGTTTGCTTGCATGCATCTAACCGTCTCGCTGCTGACAAATACCGTTTTGTTTTTTGCCCCTCCCCTCACAGAAAACAAGAAGGCAACTTTACCTCAGTCTCGCTCTCGGCTAAATGTAAACGCCGGTTCTGCGGCGGTCAAGGCTTCGCCGCCCACGGAATCTGACAGCAAAGCGGCTTCGGCGGCACCGGCCAAAGCTGCCTTGTTTTCAGATGGAGGACACAGGTACAGGAACACCCCAGGCCACGCTCATGTGTCACAAGGTGAAAGAGTGCCATTGAGGGAAGACTCAAAAGCGACAGAGATCAAGAAAGGGGATGAAGGGGAGCCCCCGGCCTCTCAGACGCGGTCCACGGGCGCCGTGCTCCCGAGCGCCAGCGGGGAGTCTGATGTGGAAGCTCTGTTAGCAAAACTCAGGGCCTTGTAGCAGTCATGCCCTCCAACCCAAATTCCGTCCACCGCATGACTGTTTGCCATCTCAAAGAATCGAGTCTTGCACGAAGCGACGCAGAATTAGACGGATTCGATCTGGACCAAATTTGCATACGTGGTTGAAAGTCGATCAAAATGACACAAGTAGGCCACAATTACACTTTGCTTGAGAAAATGGATTCAAGGGGAAATTGATACCGTGTTGATATTAAAGCGTGAAATCTGACCTTTAATGCTGCAGTGTCCAAAAAAAAAATATTCGTTTCGAAATCTGACCTTTAATGCTGCAGTGTCCAAAAAAATATTCGTTTAAATCCAGCTTGTTATGCGACTCAGCACTTTTTGTATTTATCTTCAACTTACATGTATTTATCTTTCTCTTCTATCATATATTGTCAGCGGGCTCTCAAATGGATTCAGTCAAAAAGTATACTAGATCTTACATTACATACGGGCGGTTTTCAAGTTAAACTGTTCCGCAAAGTTTTTGAACGATTTTCTACTCATATGAAAATGCCGCTCACCTACTTTGCTATGAAATCCTTCAAAGTGAAGTTTAGTGTTGCTATCGAATGACACTGCGGCTCAGCTTTGAGGTTATATTTTCCTTATGTTGCGTTTTGTATTTTCTATTGACAATAAAAGTTTTTCTACTTACGGCGTTACTTGCGATATAATTTTATCTTTTTAAGGGGCATTATTATTATTATTTTGTTGGGTGGGGGGGGTTTCCTAACAAGTGAAATTTGACCTCGTTTTTCGCTGAGGGAACATTTGCTGTATACCCAAGCAGTACTTAAAGTCTTAAAATACCATCCCAAATTTGCAAATAAAAATGTTAATGGCTGCATACTCGATCCTGATACTGTACGCTTCCTTTTCTATCCTAATTTGCAATAAAATAGTTGGCTGTGTGACAGATGCCGTCATTGTCTGCATTTTTTTCCCCCCTTGCAACAATCTAAAGCGGCTGTTCGGGTGCACCGTTTGGTTCCTCTAATACACAATCAATGGAAATCAACAACTAAAAGTGGGTCAAGAATCAATCAATGCTTGGTTGACTGGAACACTCAGAGGAATCATTTATTCTTGTTTCGCAAGAACGATGCAACATCAGAATCGGAGGTTTTCCTCCAAGATGCAGTTCAGTGCGACCCCACTTGCGAACATTAACCACGCCCGACATACAAGACAGTTTGCGACCATTGTCACTCTTTTCGAAGGTATAGCCAGTGAAGTACCTATAGACTGACTGAACTATCAAATGAATTATTTGACAAACATTTCCGCGGTTTCAATTCCGTCTGATAGCCGGCTATCGTCTGTACTGTTTTGCTCAAGGGGTGCCCAACCAGGGGTTAGACCGCGGACTGATCCCAAGGCAACCGCGAGGTGTGTAGGAAAAAAAAGTGTTTTAAATAACATGACAGGAAATCAGTGTTGCCAAATTAGCGACTTTGACGCTATATTTAGCGAGTACTCAGACCCTCTCGAGTGACTCATTTTTCAAAAAAGTGACTAGTGAGACTGGTGACTTTTTCTGGTGTTAATGGAGACTTTTATTTTCGAGTCTGTGACGTGAAAGCACGTGAAGCCTGTTCTCAACGCTGTGCCCCCCCCCCCCCAAAAAGAAGCCGCTGTCGGCTGATCCAGTCAGGTTTACAGTCAGGGCTGGATGTAAATGCCAACTTTTCTTTGTCTAAAATAAACTTAAAAAAAACAACAACAAATAAAAATTACAAAAGAAAAGAAAAAAACCCAACATCCCCCAAGTAAATCACACGCCCTGATGACATCATTTCGCGACTTTTAGGACAGCCAATCGCTACTTTCTTTCCCGATTTATTGGCAACACTGCTGGAAGTTGACAGCTGTCAACAGTAGCGAGCAGCGACCAATTACAGCGGTTACACACCCCGAAACGTCAACACGGCTGAGGGGAAACGAGCCAAGACCTACCATTTTCATCCTGAGTGGGAGCAAGATTATTATTTTTTTAGTTTGTTTATTCTCATTCAAAGCCTGTTTGTTTGATTTGCAATGCAACGGTGACATCGGCGAAGAAAGCGAATTTCAAAACGGTACACAGGGAGCTATGAGACGGGTTTCCCTGCAAAAACACTTTTACGTGCCACAAAAGTGCCGGATTTGAAAGCACAGCTTGCATGCAACACAGCAGTCAATCTTCACCAAACCGAAGGCGCAGAGTAACTCGCTTACGAAAAGCGAGTCTCCTCCGAGTGCCAGGTCTCCCGCTAAGGTAGGAAGTGATTTCCCTTTTTTTCAAAAAGAAATCTACCTGTTTCGTATCTGGTTTATTTTTCTGTTTGGTTCATATTAAGGTCAGTTATGGCTATTGCTCATCATACAGGTCACCGTGGTTACAATGACATGACGGACGGAAACGACGGTCGATTAGTTGGGGTCAGCTTGAAATAATGACAGACTGCCGATAACCGACGGGTGACCTGGGCCGCTGACGAATGTCGGAGCGGCACAGTTTTGCTCTGCTTCTTTCTTTGAGTTTGGCAAACCATTTTGCTGCTGGAAAAAATAAATATACCGGTATATATTTTGCACTTGGGCAGCCGTCATTCCTCATAGGCCTCCGTCCCGCCGGCCATGAGTTTTATGTACGGGCCTAACAAAGTAGAACAACGCATATTGTGAAGCAGATTGCAATTTGGGGCTCTTTGATTGGAGATGGAAGTCACAAAGGCCTCTGAGCAGTTCTCCAGAAGGTGGACAACCCAAAGCCGACCCGATTTGTCACCATCCCCCCCCCCCTTGAGTCAAAGAGCGACCGTGGAGCTATATTTATAATCGCGCTCGGCACAGCGAGCTGTGCAATTTTACGGCACTCTTTATTTTTCAAATGTTCCAATCCTCTGGCGGAATCATTTGTCATCTGCTGTTGATGGTGTCAGTTACATTGTAGAGGAGACGAAAAGCCGGAAAGAGGAAGCCATCCATTGCTTTGTCCTTCACAGCGCGTTTGTACACGAATGCTTTGGCTTGCCAAAAACTATTTTGTGGCTTACTGCCGGCCGGATGTTTCTTTCGTTGTTTGTCTCCTGGAAGTATGTAATTCTTATTCCGGGTCCAAACAAACCCAGAGGCCATCGCCAAATGTAGGTCCACTGGCGAGGGTGCTTGGCCTTGTCAAGAAGTCAAACGCAAGTGGTGGATTTGGACTCTGAAGATGGACTCTGGTCTGAGACTGCCCTTTTTCAGGCTACGAGAACACTTTTTTTTTTCTCCATTATGCAAACAAAAGTTGTCTTGAAACTTAGATCTTACCGCTAGCTCACTTTGTAAGCTCCCCTGGCCCTCAATTCTGGCTTTTCACTGCTAATACGCTATTTACTGCGGGTTTTCTGAATATTTCAAATCACGTAAGGGATGCCAGCTCCCTCACGGGCGAAGGAGGTGGGGGAAAAAAAAAAAGAAGACGAAAGGATAATAATGCAGAATGTAGATCAGGACTAAGGTTCACAACATTTTATATTAATGGCAAAGTGATGTTTTGCTTCATTTTATTTTTTAAGTAATATTTGCTGTCTCGGTAAGAGCCAATATTGATTTGTTTTCACTCTGTCATTCAAAGGCATCTGCTGTTAAAAATAAGCAGCAACTGCGGCAAACGTTGCTGGCAAATCGATTGGAGTGGAGCTAATTTGATAATTGAGCGCTCAAGAAAAATATGCTTTGTGACACGTTGCTTGGTAGTCTTATCTGAAATGAGTTCAGACTCTTCCCCACAAAGGCTCCTGACATTTACGATGCACACCACTAGTTCATTATTTCACCACTGACTCATTCATTGACGTGGGGCTCAGAGTCCAGCCGCTTCTGCTCCACGTCGAGAGGAGTCAGATGAGGTGGCTCGGGCATCTGATGAGGATGCCTCCCTGGTGAAGTGTTCCAGGCAGGAGGCTCCAGGGACGACCCAGGACACGCTGGAGAGACGAAGTCTCCCTGCTGGCCTGGGAACGCCTTGGGATCTCCTGGGAGGAGCTGGAAGAAGTGGCTGGGGAGAGGGAAGTCTGGGCTTCCCTGCTAAAGCTGTTGCCCCCGTGACCCGACCCCGGATGCGCGGCAGAGAATGGATGGATGAATATCCAAGACATGGTGGTCAATTGGGTAAAACAAAAGCGAACTTTCCTTTGCTTGTGTGAAGCACATTGAGTTACCTTTTGTATGACACATGCTCTATCAAGTTGCCGTGCCTCGCCTGCGATCCAACAACAACAACATCGTGCACTCATCGTTCTGATTTTAGTGTGCAGCAATGTTTCAACAAGCACAGGTCTGAACAATGAGGCATTTTCCTTTTTTTTTCAATTTCACGTGCAAGTATTTTTCAAAGGAGAACACTTCTTTCTATTTTTTTTTCCCCCTTTTCTAATTGCACTCTCGGAAAGCTCTAAGCCATGCCGCAAGCCGTCCTACGCTGAAGGTTCACGGCCGCGTGGCATCAGAGGAGACGAGCAATCGCTTAAACGATGCCACGTTTCCGTCCTCGACCGCAATTATTTCCATTCATCTTTGCTTGACTTTGTCATACTGCTGCGGTTGTCATGTCATCGCGAGGCAGAAAGTCATCCCGAGGACTTTGGCCTTTGGTCGTGCACGGTCTCATTTCCGGTCCCGCTGCGGACAAAATAACGATTGCAACTACTGGAATTTACGGCCTCCGCTCCGGAGCATAAGTCGCACCAGCCCGGAAATGCAGAAGAGGTCGAAAAAAAAAAAAACCATACATCAGTCACACTGACGTATAAGTCGCATTTTTTGCGCGTAATTTATTGTAGGAAATTCAGATAAAAAAACACTTAACCCCGCCAAATCCGGAAAAGAAACAAAATGGAATTCCCCCTCCCACATGGCTGTCGTCAGACTCGGAATTCGTTCCAGTTCCATTGATGCCAGCCGTTCTGAATCCAGACAGGATGGTCTTGGTTGTCACTGAAGCCCGGCGCTTTGTGCATCCATCTGATAGCTTGCACAAAAAGTTGCATGGCGCATGCTCCCGGTTGCTGTCAAGCTTGGCCATCTATTTTTTTCATGCATAAGACGCCCGAGAGTAGAAGTCACCGGACTAGCCAACCAAAAGGAAAAAAAAAAAAAAAAGTCGGGGTTGGCGGCAAAGTCACACGCACGTGACGACGAACTGACGCGGCTCCTTTTGACTCTCCACGACGTCAATCTTGAAAAAGAAATCCACCTGGGTGTCTTCCATTCAACGATTGTCTTTGTGTGAGCG